ACAAAAGTAGCCAGACCAGTCTGACTCCCAACTTGAAGCTTGATATGGAGGAATTGTTGGTGATCCCACAGTATACTGCAAGACACCTCCTTCCTATGTAACACCCAAATCTTGTTATTCAAATTAGAGATATAAAGAAAACCAGGGAATTTATTTATAATTCTCTAGGAATTTTTAGAGACCATAGGCTATAGAATAGCCATCAACCAAAATTTATACATCCTATTCAAGGCCATCAGTCTGTTAAGGGATTTAGGATGTGCCAATCCCCTAACATTTCAGCACAGAAAGATTATCATCCAATAGATACTGATTTTCCCCTCCTTCTGGCTTTAGCTATATCCTCTAGGGCTTCTTTATGAGATTTTCTATCCCTGAGAATGTAACTTCCCCCCTTTTCAGTATTTAAAACTTAAAAACCCTTTTCTTTTTCTTAGTTTTCTGGACAATCCATTTATCCTCCAGGGCTGTCTGTAACCCCTTAATTAAGGTTGTGTCAATCTGTAGTTCCCCCAGGGCAGCCTCAGCCCCTAATTCCTGATTAGTATCCCCCTCAATAGTATTCCAATCAGTGTTTAGTACTTCATTGGTTGTCTGGTTGTAACCTGAAAAGTCAGCTTCTGAAATAGCATAAGCCTTGGCATTTACATCCTGCTGGTCCAACTGGTCATTTTTCTCAACTTGGGAAGGGATGATGCCCTGATGGCCATCATCCTCATTGCCCTTGGTTATCACCTGATTCAAAGGTTTAGCATAATCCTCTTTTCTTAAAAGCCCAACATCAACAGATAAATGATCTGCCTCCTTAGAAGTCCCCCCAGCAGTTCTTCTGATATGGGGATGGCTTTTGTAACATTTGTTATCAGTGTGCCCAAACATGCTGCAATGGAAACAGTAGTATGGCTTCTGTTCAGCTACTATCCTTTGCCAATAGCCATTATGCTCAGTCCCCAACCAAATTTCCTCTACAACAGGAAGGGTGATATCCCTTTCTACTAATATTCTGGCTACTGAAGGTCTGGAGAGGTTGTAAGTAGGGACATCAAACTTCAAAGGTTTCCCCAGAGCTTGGCCAATATTAAACAAAACTTTATCATTAAAGAAGTGAAGCTTTAACCCAGGGAGTTTGAACCAAATAGGAACTACAGGCAGCTACTTGCTCGGGTCAAACTTAGTGGACCATTTCAAGATTTTCATAGTAATACCATCAATCTGTAAAATCTGTTTGGAGAAAACTCTAGCATAATCATCTTCTCTTGACAGTTTAATAAGGATGTGCCTTCCATCAATGAGAACCACCCTCCAAGCACCTTTGAGTTTAATGCCATCAAAGAATTTTCTAATGGCTTCCATTTTTGGGTGTCCCATCTGGAATTTACCAATGAGAGAAAATTTGCAAACCTCAGTCAGTTTTTGTATCTCTGAATCAATATAAAAGATAGCCACCTTCCCATTTTTCCTACTCAGAGGTTTAATTAATGGGTCATCCGCCTCATGGTAACTCTGGGGGAAAACAAGGTCATCAAAATCCTTAA